TTCGAGAGTACATTGAAAAATGAATACTACATATTAGGAGCTAAAAGCGAATAAAATTAGGAGCTGAGAATTGTTTTGTACTTTATAAAAGACAAAATTATCGAAAGGGAAGATTTAGGTGTCAAATAACAATCTCAGTGTTAAAATCTGCGTTTGAGCAAGCAGAAAACCCATCTCCAATTTCACTCTGATCTATCGTCAAAGGAAAAACTGCTAGAGGATCGTCTTCTTCTTAATCTTTCATCGTGATTAAAAGCACTTAATACAAGGACATAGGGCCAGTTTCAAATTAAAGTGGCAAATTAAAGTAGCAAATTAATTTATTTTGATATAACAGATATCAAAACAATATTAAGGAACTTAAAAAACTAAAATCGGAATATTAAAAGTGTGCGTGCGCGGGTGCGGTTGCGGTTGCGGTTGCGGTCAATATTAGTATAAAGTAGTATAAAATGAATAGAAAGTAATTTTTGGAAAATCTAAAATTTACACTACAGAAAATTTGTAAATCGTTTGTAAACAATTGTTTTTATCTATTTAATTAGCTAGTTAATTACATTAATTAATATACTATTACATTTTTTTCGTAGCTCGCTCCTGAGAATATTTCTCGTCAAATAATAGATATAAATCGTATTATTATTTATCATCCTGAGATGAATGTATTCACGCGAGTTGATGTGGCAACTTGAGTAATCTTTAGCCTCGCGAGGAATGATAGACCAGGGTATCTCTTTCCAACGTAACACTCTCCTTTATTCTCGCAAATGAAATGTAATTACGAGCTGCCACAGAGCGCGCGTGCAATCACCAAACACACTTATTTCTTCGCGGAGGATATGCACTGTTACAGTTTGTGCAATACGCTGAGTTATAATGAATGTCATATTCCTATAATCATTTCCGTATGTCGCAATAACATTTTGTCAGTGAACGCAATTGCAGTTCGCTCAGATACATATGTTAGTCATCATAGTCATCGTTCGTTTCCTCGTATCGGTAATTGCTATGTTCATCTTAGATTATATCTCTTTGGGATAATGACAATAGAATTCCGAGTAATCAAACAGGTGATAAATTGCTGCCTTTATTAATTAATTAATTAAGGAATTGATTTTAGTAAGCTAAAAAAATTATAATATATCATAAAAACTAGCAAGATAAGTAACATGTATTAAAAATAATCCTAAAAATAACACACTTTACAAAATATTTCATAACCTGGAACATATATGTGCAGATTACAAGAAAATTTGTATAGGAACTTGATTACTCTCATACAATCTCTTCTACGACATTATCGAAAGGTCAACATGGGACTTCTTGCATTGCCTACGGATATTTCTGTTCACACTTAAAAGTCGTATATTATGACCATCTCAGACATTTAGTTATGTAATTGGCTATAATATATGCATTGAAGTTAAACGCAAATATATATATAAATATATATATGTATTTATACAGTCATTTTATCCTAATAACAGGTAGAGATTCAGAAATGCGTACAAATAATAAAATATCTCATGTTTCATTTCTAGTAAAACTTTTATAGAATATTAACGATTAAACCATAATTACTAGCATGTTTAATGTTGTTGAAAATGAAGATTGTCGGCAAACATCATATGTCACGTAATCTTCGTGACATATCAAGGAAAAGATGTTCTTAAATTTGCTAGGGAATCCGAATAAACAAAGAAATAACATTTGAAGATAAAGTTAGGTTTAACCTTTGCCATAATAACAGCGATAATAAATCGCGATGGCAAAGAGTTTTGCGCGTGCCTGAGAAACCACAAATAGAGACGTACCAAAGTTTGTTTCCTTTTATTATGCACTATTTTTTTATTTGTTGAAAATGAAATAAATTTTTTGTCCCATCTATTGTTTGAAATTTTTTCATTTATTGCGCTTTCTTTCTACAATAACGATAACGGTTTTGCCAAAGATAATGGGATATGTCAACGGTTGTAGTAACGGCAGATATCGAGGGAAATTCCTGGTGGAATGTTGTCGCGATCAAGGATGACCGGTGAACCGGACGAGATCACTCCCGATTCACGATTAGAATCTTACGTAGGCACTTTCGCACACATGCAAGAGTATTGCACATATATGTGTAGTCGAATGCAAACTAATTACTCGAGAAATATTCTTCCGATTGTTATATTTGTTATTATCTTGATTCGCTATACTAGCTCTCTTTATGTATATATATATATATATATATATATATATATATATATATATATATATA